GTTTTACAGACAGATCCTCAATCTCCAAGCTTCAGCAAAACAGATTTGATTCCTCGCTCTATGTACCTTCTGTGTGCATATGAAACAGCATTCGAGTGGAGAATCACTGTAAAAGTGCTGCATCAAAGCTGGTTGGACAATTGTCAGTTGTGAGTCTCGAGGGAGAGCGAGGAAAAGAGCAGAGATAAGGAAGAATGACACAGTGGTTTCCACACAAGAAAATGTGTCATAGCCACAGAACGTTTTCTCAGCATTTTTGTATCATTGATGACTGAGGTTTGTAAAGTTACTTCAACAATTCTATCCTCATTTTACTCCAAAAGGTTGTGCAATAACTAAGCTAAACTAAGCTCTGTCTCATGTGCAAGGTCCTCTTTGCAAGGTCCTGCTTAGTTTCCAGGAATTAGTAAGGTGCCTGGCATATCTGGCACCACTCAGCTGGTGAAATAATAGTTTATGTAAGATATAGTTGAATGCAGCCTTTCAAGCTCAAGCCAATATTCTCCTGTTTTAAACTCAGAGGGTTGTCTTTGTTCCTTGAATATACCAGTGATTTCATAACACTCATAATGGACCAAATATACATGGTTGTGGTTTATCCTGCTTTGTATCATACAGATAAAGGCTGATAGAAGAGCAACATATAGCTCTGAACAGAAAATATTTGCTGAACTAAAGAGGTGGGAAAGAGCTGAGTCTTGGGCCCTTAAAGAGGATCTGTTCAATGCCAAGATCCTAGGATTTGACAGTCAGTAGGGTCATGTAGAATATAACTGTCCCTCCTTTCTTTTTACATTCCTATAGCAAAAAAAAAAATAAGAAGGAGAGTAATTTAAGTAGCTCCAACAGAGTGTGTTGTCCTGCCATTATAAGGTAAGTTTTCCAGTTCAGCAGTGGAAAACAAACTTAGAGTTTTTCCCTTTGTGGCATTGTCTGCAAGTCTCTGGTTCTCATTTGGCTGGGTGTTAAACTGACACAGTCACAATCCATGGCTCAGGGGATGTACAAACAGCTTGGATGATAGGAGTAAGCCTGACACATCAAAAGTTGAAAATGAAACCCATAATTTAAAAAAAGCAATCAAACAACAACATATTCTCATCCCTACCAGTGAGTACTGAGTGTCTGCAGTACAACATTAAATAGCTGAGTAGCAGTGAGTGGTGATTAAATAATTGTTGGCTGCCATGGATGGAATAAAAGACCAACACTGGTTTATAGATTTCTTCAGCAAATTGATAGAACTTGTCATTAGTTTTGAATGTTTGTCAATTTATGCATGTTTCAGTAAATTGAATAGAATATTTAATTTCGCTTTTATTGTGTGGTGAAAACAAAGTGGTGTCTAGAGACGACCTCAAAAGACAGAAAAGTGTTAAGGAAAATGTGTCTTTGTCTATATCCCTTCACCCTGATAATTGCAGGAATTTTGATTTGTGGAATATTTGGAGGGTACTTGCTGATTATGAACCAGAAAGAGATTTAATTACAGATGCTCAGCATATTCTACATAGTTCAGAAAACTCTTTGCTAATTTGAAGCCATTTTCTGTAGGGCTATTAGAGATGGTTCATTTGTTGTTGCTATTTTGGAGAGGCCTACATTACTGAGCATGCAGGAACTGTTGGGATTTAACCTGGTTTTGTAAATTCCTATTTGAACTATAATACAGATTTTAAGGAGGAAAAACCCAGTGATGAAGAATACAATACAAATACTGGAATTTCAGAAGTGAAATGATACTCAGATATTTAGAACCTGCCTCTTTGGATCTTTTGCAAGCATCAAGGGATCTCATAGTATTTCAAGCTGTACACCTAGAAAATCACTTAAAGCTCACAAGGTGAGGTAAATTATTCATGTACCATTATGAGGCAGCATTCACACTCCAGGCAGAGAAAATTCAGGTGGCAAAATACAATTTCCAGATTTGTAAGTAGGCCAGGCCATTTGTTACAAAGTGTTATGAATAGCACTGGTGAGCACAGATTCTCAAAACATAAGAGAAAGTTTGATCTTCACCGTGGGCCACAAATTCAAAACTAGTTGAGAAGGAGAAAACACGTCTAGGATTTTATCTGCAGAGATCCCTGGTGACTTTGGATTGACACAAATGGTAGTTTCAGAATAGGCAACATAATGGTACTTGAGAAGGGAAGCTCATTCCCCATGAGCATCTACTCTGTAGTAATGCCCAAATCAAAATCATCCCTGTTGCTGCTGGCTGTCGTCATGTTGGTGCTTGGTGTTTGAAATCCTACATTTGACCATCTGCAAGTCAGTTCAGTGACCCTCAGGATGTTTAGAGTAGTTTCCTTCTGTTTTCAGTAATGCTTTGGATCTTCTCAAAAATGTCAGTATGCTACATGTTTAGATATCAAAGCAGTAAGACATCAGTCCAAATCTGTTAAAATATAGTTTAAATCCTGTGTTATCCATTACCTTACTAGTGTGGTGAAAACCAGCAAGGTTTCACAGTTTTCTTGTGAGCTGCATGATGGAGGTTCCCGTGTATTTAGGGTGATGATTCCAGGCTTTTCCACAAAGTGAAAACACTATGAAAATTCCTTTCTGTGGGAGCTCATTCTCAGCAGCAAAGATCTCCCTTGGTTTTAGGTTCGTGTTTACAGCAGCTGTATAGACCTTACAAATCAGACAGAAATAGGAAAAGGAGTAAAGTAAAAAGTGGCAGAGTTGTGGAACAGGGTGAGGAGGGTCAATGTCCTATTGGGGTGGGAGCAACTTTGGCATAAGCTCTTACTTTTATAACTGTTATAGAATAGCAGGGGGAATATGTTTAACTTTTTTAATTGCAGCTAAATGCAGATTACAAGGATGAAAATGTGAAAATGTACCATTTATTTTCTGAGGAACAGATTGCACAAGAACAGGTGATGGGATTGGAACGATTCTGCTGCTACCTAAAGAGAAAGGCAACCTGGCACTGAATATTTGTGCACTCTGGAGTTTCCCTCTGTGACTTCCACAGGAAGGTTTTGCAGTCTGCCATTGTACAAAAGAAATTCTCAGCCTTTCTTTGTTGTTTGCAGCTGTCTTCAACCAATCCCTTAATGTTTCTGGGCTAGAGCAAAAGCTGAATGTTTACAAGTAACTCCCCACTGAAGAAATGCGTAGCATAATGCTTTATTTAGCTAAAAAAAAAACCAGGCTCCAGCAGCCAGGCTCCAATAGCCAGGCTGGTAGAGCCATGGATATCCAGTGAGGCTGCTTGGGATGTGCCTCTCTGGGACACTTTAGATAAAGAGCCCCCTCTTCCAAGGAAGAGACGTGGAAAGTGGTGTTAGTGCACTGAAGTTCTGCCTGGTTACAGAGCCTTTCTGCTTCCTCCAGGAAATTCAGAAGGACCCCTTTCAAGGGTCATTTACTGTTTGTTTTTGTAGTGAATTACCCTTCATACATATTTCTTTTCGATTGGCTCCTTGGTCATTTCTCTAATTTGGGAAGTGTACTTTTAAAGACTTTTGGTGACATGTTTATTTTTGCTAAATGCCTATGGAACAGAAATGCAGCCTCATGAGGCAAGTGTGTCCCAAGTGGAATTAGAATGGTCCCACAGTGTTAATTCTGTTCATCCATTATGTTCCTTAATTTTTCCCTTCGAATTTTAATCCTGTAATTTTAGAGAAGAAACTGTTTTGAGGACTTTGCTTTCTGTGCACACATTAAAAATATCAATAGGATATAAACATGTGGAAAACTTAATAGGCAGTTTCTCCTTCCCCCTTCCCCTTCTCACATGTGCAAATTAACAATGAGGGGGGGAAAGAAGGACCAGGAATCTGTCTCTAACCTTTCTGCACCTTGATAACAACCTTGTACTTTCCATTTGTCTTTTTTTCACTGAAATCTCAGGAATTTAAGCCATGGCTAGCAAGGTTCTCAGATAGATGCTGAAAGGGTGGTGGCCTCTGCTTTTTATTGCTGGCTGTGGCAGGAAGCCTCAATTAGTGTGAAAATACTGAGAGTTCTTAAATTAAGCAATTGAGGAAAATATTTTTATTTATGCTGCACACTTGCCTTTTAAAATTCCATGTTTGATTGCTAGACAGAGAATGGGAAACCATATGAGACAGCTTGATATACTTTACCTATGGCAATCTTTAGCTGTATGTGATTGCTAAAGCTACTAATTGATCTCTC